CCCTTTTATCCTTTTTATTGATACTGTTGCACCGCAGGCTCATTTGCACACTTCATTGTTTTAACCCACTCTCATCGTGCACAAAATCCGCCCAAATAGCGATCATAACCCCAAGGGCATATGACGTTTGAGTGATAGGGTATGTCCCTAACTCTTTTGGTACCAAGAGTGTTGTCGGTAACCAAATATGTTCTGATTTCAAAAACAAATTCTTTTTCTTTTCTTTTTTGTTTTATTTTTTGTTTTGACAAGTATATATTTCATATCTTGTTATTTTTGAATCTATAGATAAACATCTATTTATCATCATTTTCAATCGTGCTACGAATCCATTAAAAATGCCATTCCAAAATTTTGGTTAAATCATTTTTAAACATCAATATTTTAACGAACCCGTATTTTTTGACGATTTTGCAACATGATGAAGTGTCTTCATAACAAAAAAAAATGATATTTGACAATTTCTTTTTCTAACCATTGTTCATTTCATCACATATCCTTTCCCTAAATTTTACATTCTGAATATTATTTGACTCTCTCTTTAAAAGGCCGTTCAAAGTCTTTTTTACTTGTCCATTAATGCTCTCCCTCCATGCCACGCTATCACGTCGACTGATAAGGCATCATCAGTCGACCTGAAGAAGCACCGCCTTGCGTGGAAAAAATATCATTTATTCTACTCAGTCGACTGATTTGAACATCAGCTCGCCCGACCGAAACAGCTCTCAGTCGACTGATTGATTTTCATCAACTCGACCGTCATGAAGTTTGAGCTGTCCATCAACGATCAACCTCATCCGGTCGATGATTTACTGTCTTATCAGTCGACCGACAACACTGTTTCTCAGATATTCTGATTTTTAAGGGACTTTGTTTGTTCTGGTTCTTTCCGTAGCGCAGGTATTTTCTTTCTTTGGTTGGACTTTGTTTCAAGAATATATATCTACCCCCTTCTATTCTTCAAGCACTCTTGAATTTACTGAAGAAAAGTTTAAACACAAATTTACAATTTGCCTTAAATGTTTTCCAACTATTGTGCTTTTAAAATTCTTAATCTATGATTCGTGTTTGAATGCTTTTAGTGATTCAATTTTCCATGTTTTTCAATGCATTTGTTATTCTGAAAATATTCCCTTGCATAATTTATAATTTTTAGTTTTCCATGATTCCCTTTAATTTGATTTCATATATAAATCTATATATTGTTTTTACGTTCTGTGTATTGAGACCACCATTTTTCATAATATACTAATATATATCTATACTATATATATATATACTTTTTATACCTTTATTATACTACTATCACTACCCCTATATATATATATATTATATATACTATATATTATAATATATATATTATATATTATCATATATATACTAATACTAGTATATATATATATATGTGTTGCTGTGTGTGTGTTGTGCCTTCCGCTGTGTGTGTTCCTCTGTGTCGTGTTGTGTGCCCTCGTCCTCTCTGTTATTGTCTGTTGTGTGTGTTTCTCAATATATTTTTGCATTAATTTATGAATTTTGGATATATAGATTTAACATTTTGATTTTATGGTTTTGTTTATTTCCTTATATATACTATATATATCACCTACTACTATATATCCCTATTATATTATCTACTCCTCTATATTTATCTTACTATCATATACTATACCTATCCTATATACTAATTATATATATATATATATATATATCTTATTGATATATTTATGTTTGAGACCTTTATAAACACCTTTCATGATATTTTATGTGGTCTCTTAAGTCTCTTTAAATGTGAGTAGCGATTGATATTTTTTATATATGTTTTGCTCATATATAGCCACCTTGTTTTTCTTGACATATGTTTTTAGACTTTTTGATAGGGGGAGCATTCCCTATTTCTTTTCTTGCTAATACTCACCGTGCCTTATTGATAGGGGGAGCTTTTGCTCTTAATTTTTATTGTTTTCCCCATTTTGATGTTGACAAAGGGGGAGAAACAAGTTAATTATGAGTATATCATTCTATTGGTTTTATGCATGAGAATTATAATTTGTATATTCGTTTGGTATCATGTATATTCTATATACTCTTTATGTAGATTGTTTGTCATCATCAAAAGGGGGAGATTGTTAGGTGTCTTGTTTATGAGGCTACTATCTAATCTAGTTTTGATAATTAACAAACAATTCCTAACAATGTTTGTCAAGTGTTTATTTGCCTGTTAAGTATTCTATACAAAGATCCTCTAGTTAGAGATTGGATGGACTTACGCCTACACGATCATATCCATCGAAGGATGGAAGGAATATCGGAATGAAGCTTTGCATTTCAAGTCAAGTACAAGTTTAAGCTTCATCCGTAACCAAGATCGAGCTCAAACAAAGATTTCTAAGCTTAGGTATATTGTTTCTAGTTTAGGTCTTATACCGTATGTGTTATACTTTAAATCTCAAATATTACACACATACACGTTTTCGTTTTATTGCTTTCAAGTTTAAATAAATATGAAACAAATAGTTATATTTATATACATATATATTATTTTTATATTTATCATCTTTATTTGGAAATTAATATTTTTATGAATTAAAGACTTATTTACACTATTTTATATCTTTCCTCAAGTCTATTAATCTATTGGAAAGTGTTTTAAAACTTGTTTGGAAGAATTTTATCAAAAATCAAGTTTTGACGATTACGTGTTGTTGAACAATTTACAAAATAAATGAGTTTTCACAAATGAGAAATAAAATTTGAGAAAATATTTTTCTAAAATGTTATATTACATGTTTAAAAATATTTTCCATAATTTTATCATTTTTGGATTTGATTAACTATGTTAAATTAATTTTACAAACTCAAGTGTTTCAGTAGTTTTTAGAATCTGGAATATCAGTTTTAAAATAGTTATTTCTCACAAATGTGAAGTGATATTTTAGAAATTCCTTCTCCAATATATTTATCTATGTGTGTAGAAACTTTACTCTAAATTTTTGATTTTTTGAGTTATTTTACTATTTTTAATAAATTTTAGAATGTTAGATATGCAAAATTCCAGAAACTGCCAAAATCTGAAACTATCGACTTATCAGTCGACCGACGCCTGTAATAAGTTGACTTATGGGCTCTTTTTGGTTTGAGAGGCTATAAAAAGCCCTCAACTCTCATTTATTTGTCACGGATGTTTAAGGGAGTTTTAAAAGAGTTTGTTTCAAAGTTTTAAGTGTGTTTAAATTTTGTTTTTACAAGTGTATGTGTGAAGAAACTCTCACAAGAGGTGAAGATCGATTCTTTCGTGTTTGGGCTTAAATGTTATCTCTCTCTCACTCTTGTTTTTAAAGAAGTTTTACTAAACTCAATTTCTAATTAAGGGTAATCAGGTAAAATAAACAGCCCCTAAAGAGAGGTAATTAATGCTTGTCTGTTGAGTTCTCCATTTCCCTATGCAATCTCACGGCTAAGGCAACCCAACAGTCACGAACAACAGCTCTCTCTCAATCGAGAAATCGTCCAGCAGCTCTCGTTCATCGTCCTTCAGCTCTCTCTCAATCGAGAAATCGTCCAGCAGCTCTCGTTCATCGTTCTTCAGCTCTCTCGTTCATCGTCCAGTAGCTGGCCATTGTTAAACATTTTATGGAGATTTAAATGGAGAGCTTGAATTCAGGTGTGCAGGTTCTAGTTTTTTTCATTGTAATTGATCCAGATTCAGTATTTCAATACTTAGTCATATGACTTGTTATCTAGGAGCTTACATTCTTAAACATTTTATGGAGATTTAAATGTAGAGTTTGAATTCAGTTGAACACGTTCTAGTTGTTAATCTAGATTCACTGCATTGAATCGAGATTCATTATTAGAGATTACAGTGATTTTCATAATTTATTCACTTGTTTACTGTAATGAATCTGGATTCAATGTAGTGAATCGAGATTCATTCCAGATTAATTAGCAATGATATGAATTCAATGCAGTGAATCGAGATTCACTCCAGTGAATCTAGATTCATTGTGATGGATCCCGATTCAGTATATCAAAACTTAGTCATATGACTTATTATCTAGGAGTTTACATTCGTAAACATTTTATGTAAATTTAATTGGAGAGCTTTAATTCAGTTGAACACGTTCTAGTTATTAGAGAATGCAGTGATTTTTATAATGTATTCACATGTTTTCTTTAGTGAATCTGGATTCAATTCTTTGAATCCAGATTCACTACAGTAAACATGTGAATACATTATGAAAATCACTGCATTCTCAAACAACTAGAAGGTGTTCAACTGGATTCACAGGTTTAATGTAGTGAATCTGGATTCAATGCAGTGAATCGAGATTCACTCTAGTACATCCAGATTCATTGTGATGAATCCAGATTCAGTATATCAAAACATAGCCATATGATTTATGTTGTTTTATATTTAGTTGTAGGCAGCAATGAACAAATAACGGAACCACATGTTATAAATGCATCGGACAGTGATTTTGGGGAAGATGAAATGGACGAAGTTAGCTCGATTCCTTTTGAATCACCAGGTGGTGGTATGTATTGGAAACCTCGGGTTGAAGCTGAATTTAAACCTTATCTAAACCAAAGCTTTCGATCACTAGAGGATGGTATAGAGTTTTACCGAGAGTATGGACGTAAAAGTGGGTTTGAGATCAGACGGCATACAGAGAAGAAACATGAGGACGGTACAGTTCTTCTTAAACACATTGTTTGCAGTAGAGCTGGCAGCAATGAATCAAAGATGGATGTTGATTTTGAGGATTTTAGTAGCATTTTGAAAAAGAGAAGGAGAACTGTATCTAGTAGATGTGGTTGCAAAGATAAAGTCGTTTTTAAGTTCGATGGTTTGAAATGATATAATGTTCTCTCATTCGTTAAAGAGCATTCTCATTTTTTGGTCTCCGGTAGTGGGAAACAATTTTTGAAGTCAAATAGAGTTATCGGTCTCGCACATAAGAAACTTGTATTTGATGGTGCAAAAGCCAACCTGGGGCCTAACAAAACATATAACTTTGCTAAAGAGTTGTGTGGAAGTTATTCTAATGTTAGTGCTACGTGTACTGAGTTTAAAAATTGGAGTAGGGATGTGAAGCTTTATATTGGTGATCGAGATGCTCAAATGATCATCGAGAAGTTCACGGATAAGAAGGAGATGTGTGATGGATTTTTCTATGATTATGCAGTTGATGAAGGGGGTCGATTAACTCGTATTTTTTGGGCAGATGTTATTGGACGACGAAATTACGATGTATTTGGAGATGTGATATCATTTGACTCTACATATTCCACAAACAAGTAAGATTTTATAGTTAATCTCTTACGATTTTCAATATTGTAATTATATATCATAGTGAATCTTATATTTTTTGTATGTGATACAATAGGTACAACATGAAGTTTATTCCATCCACTGGTCTCGACAATTATAAGAAGTGTATTGTATTTGCAGCAGGATTGATAGCTAAAGAGGACATTGATAACTATGTCTAGATTTTTGAGGTATTCATGAAATGCATGATTCGCGAGCCAAAGTATATTGTTACAGATCAGTGCCCTACCATGAAGCAAGCTATACCAGCCGTCTTTAGAGAAGCACGTCACCGTTTGTGCAAGTGGCACATCATGAAGAAATTTAACCAAAAGGTAATGAATCCCACATATAAATATCATGAATCCTTATTAGATAAATACTGAATCTTTCGTTATATATTTATATTGTAGTTGGCAAAATGCATTTCGAAGATGGATGATTTCAAGAGGAAGATCAATGCACTGATTTGGAGTGTAGATATAGATCCAGCAACATTTGAAGTAGGTTGGAAAGATGTTATGAAAGAATATAAGCTTGAAAGTAATGAATGGTTGTGTGAACTGTATAACATTCGGGAGTCATGGATTCCAGCCTATTATGCTGATGATCCAATGGCTGGTTTATTGCATACTACATCAATATTAGAGAGTGAGAAATGTTTCTTTGACAAATTCAACCGTAGATCTGACACATTGACAGAATTTTATCTCCGATACGAGAGTGCTATGGAGAAGCAAAGGCATACAAATGCAAGATTAAACTATGAAGGAACAAAGTCGATGCCAAGAATGGACACGCCATTGTTATTGGAGAGGGATGCAGCAGAATTGTACACTCGAACAATGTTTTATGAGGTACAAAAAGAGATAATGTCATCCTGTTATGATATGAGTATCAACAGTATATCAGAAGAAGATGGTGTGAAGATTTTTTCCATAAAGGACAAAAAGAGACATGGAAAAATATTTGAGGTAAAACTCAATAATGTTGATTGAAACAATAAAAATTGAATCCAGATTCAATGCAGTGAATCGCGATTCAATGAAGTGAATCTCGATTCACACCACTGAATCGAGATTCAGTGACCATTTCATGCGCTTGTCATTTTCTTTTTTTTATTCGGTGCTAATATACATTGTTTTTTGAATTTTAGGTGAAACACGCTTATGGGAACAATGACGTGCAATGTACGTGTAGGCTGTTTGAGAAAATGGGTATAGTATGTAGACATGGGTTTTTTGCACTGAACCAAGCTGATGTAACAAAAATACCAAGACATCTTGTTGTGAACCGATGGACAAAAGGTGCTGAGATGAGGCATTCATTGCAGTTCAAGGAAATATCAGAACAGTGCAATGCAATTGAAGTTACAAATCGCAAGGTAAATGACATATGGTATGATTTCCAATCTTGTGTGAGTTTGGCAGGTTTAGATGGTGAGAGACTTGACTACCTGGAAGGGAAGTTGAAGGAGTTGAAGCACAGTTTGCGTGAATCTAGTTGGAAATCTGACACACAGAACAAAAATAATGTAATGGAGTTTTTTGTTGGCTCAAAAATACCAGCTGAAGTGATTGTTAAACCTCCCATTGAAGGTAGAAACAAGGGCTGTGGACGGAGAATTGTTGGTGATTATGAGAAATCAATTAGTCAACGAAAGAAGAATGTGCCAAGGCTGTGTAATATGTGCAAAAAAACCGATTTCCATGACGCACGGACATGCCCATTAAAGAAAACATTACAGCAGAGTGATGCTTAATTTAGTTGTCATATTTCGTTTCAAAATCATGTTTAGTAATACATTTCTTATTAAAATTGTTGAATTGTGTAATTCTTAACTACATATATTTACTAGATTATTAATTACATGGTTACGTTGTGTCATGTTAGTATATTGAATTGAGATCTACCCATTATTATTAGTTGTATTATTTCAAAAGGAATGATAAAGTAGTTGTATGCAGTCATCAGTTTAAAATTGATTCGCTTTAAGTGATTCTGGACTAACTATATTGAATCTAGATTCATTGTAGTGAATCTAGATTCACTGATATTGAATCTCGATATCACTATAGGGATTCATTATAATCAATCAAACAATTAAATTATTTGATTGGTTCGTTTTAAGTGATTCTGGACTAACTATAATGAACATAGATTCATTGTAGTGAATCTGGATTCATTGATCTGAATATGGATTCACTATAGTGAATCTATTTTCAATCAAATAAATTACTAAAAACTTTAGTACACTATTGAACCTGTGAATCCAGATTAAATACACTCAATCCACAATAAGTATGATTAACTTACTGAATCTTTCATTGTAGTGAATCTGGATTCACTAAATTGAATCTAGATTCACTATAGTGAATCTAGATTCAATCAAATAAATTAGTAATAACTTGAGATAATATTGAAACAGTGATTCCAGATTAAACACATACAATCCATAATAAGTATAATTAATTTATTGAATCTTACATAAAACCTTGAATTATAACTCACATTCTCTGCTTAATTCGAAATTCTTCCAATTGCATTCACTACCTTCACAGTATTTTCATATATCCAAACTATTCACAAATCTAGAAATAAAATTATGACAAAGCTATTCTTATAAAGTATATTTGCATAGAAAAGCAGTTCAAAACAAACTGGAGTATTCTATAACATTAAGCGACAATGTACTTAATAACTGTAAACTTCAACATTGAAAATTATGCTGATTACAGAATATCATTTTCTTTGAGATCTTGTGATCTTCCTCGTCTCTTTTTTGAATTTGACAGTTTCAGCATGGTGCAGTTGGTCTTTCCTGATGACTTCTTTGGCCAATTCATTTGTTGGTTCAGTAAGAATTTGGCAACAGTATATAGACCTCAGTCTATGTAGCTGATTTTTTAATCGCTCCTGTCGATATGAACAAAAGTTCAGTTCAAGATTCAGTAGCTATATTCTAAATTTTATTAATTCAAAAAGACTAACTGTAAATTATCAACACATTATTAGTTTAAACACTTACACCCTCTCTATGGAAACCAGAGTTCCAATTTGTTGTACCACCGCCCATGTAGGTCTCCATATGTCTCATGACAAAAATACCACAATCAAATTTGTTTTTGGCCGTTCTCCACTCCATCTCAAGTCTGTCAGGCGTTAATGTATTTATTTCACTCGCCTTGTGATGTTTTTTGTGTGCCAAATATCTCACAAAATTCTTGTGCTGTTTCATCAAAAGTAATCAGTGTCACATAACAAATCCAAATTATCATACAGTAATGTTTAATGTAATATACAAATTGTTTTGGTTGTTTATATGGAAACAATATTAATGATAGTGAATCACGATTCATTGGATCTAGCTCACTAGGATTTAATAGAGTTAGTTCACCTGGACTCACTCTAATGAATCTGGATTCACACTAGTGAATCTGGATTCATTACAATTAGCTATAGCTAGTGAATCGTGATTCCGTGATGTGAACACAGATTCACTAGCTCTAGTGAATCGAGATTCACAGTAAGATGTGAATCCAGATTCACTAACTCTAGTGATCGAGATTCACTAGAGTTAGCGAATCTGGAATTCTCTGACTCTAGTGAATCCAGATTCACTATAGTGAATCCAGATTCACTATAGTGAATCCAGATTCACTATAGTGAATCCCGATACTATAGTGAATCCAGATTCACTATAGTGAATCCAGATTCACTATAGTGAATCCAGATTCACTATAGTGAATCCAGATTCACTATAGTGAATCCAGATTCACTTATTACTGTATTCTGTCAGTAAATGCTTAAAGCATATACGTAAGGTGGAAAAACATACCAAACCCTCAGGACAACCTTGGTATTTTTCATTGTAGTCTGGGCAGTTTTTGCTATTGTCAATCAGCTCCGTACTTGGATTCTTTAGCCCATAGCACACAATGTAGAAATGCTCAAATGCATTTATGGGAAAGAATACCTAATGGTTGTAAAATTTAATCAGAGATTTTACAGATATAGTTAAAATTGGGTTAAAGAACAAAAACATTGTCTTCGAATCTTTACCATATCAATCTCATTAAACTTCATATGTGGATACAGAGCAAGTTGCTCATCCATCCGGGAAGCAAACCTACTGTATCTCAATTCATCATTGGCCTCATTTGTGTGATGAATGTTGCAAAACTGTACAACATAAAACTGGTTAAATAAAATGTAACTCAAGTGTTATTTTAAATTAAATAAAGGAAGATGCATACGGTTGTCTCAACATTACAGAAGAATCTAAGTGGAGAATTTTCAGACTTCATTTTTTCTCTGCTGTTCAAAATATAGGACCAAATGCTGATAAAATTTGCCTCAATGTCCTCAGAAGGAAGGAAAGTCTTGAAAGCAGGTAAGAAACATTCAATTTGTCTCCACTTAAAAACCATTTCACTGAAAAAATAGTAACAATATTCAATTTAATAAAGGAAAAAAATACTAAAAACAGTGAGTCTCACACCTAAAAATAAAATATCAAATAAGATTTAAGAACTCACAAATTCTCTTCTTCAGCAGAATCATCATCTGAATGCCTTGCTTCTTCTCTATGCACCCAATTCCATATGATGCATTCCAGCTGACTTTGCCTAGCAGTAATCTGAGATACCCTCTGCAACCATGGTGACCGAAGAGACGTTGCAGGCTTCACCATCCTCTTTTCTTTCCCCCTTCCCGCATGTCCCTTATTTTCGGTCACATGTACTTTCTTACCTTTACGTTCATCTACTGCATCAGCATCTTCAGCTTGTTTATCAGTTAAGCATACAGATTCATCAATGATTTCAGATTCACAAACTTTAGCAATCTGAACAACATCAACCATTTCCACTGTCTCAGTCTGAGTATCTTGTGTCAGCCCAAGAGAAAAACTAGGTTCTTCAGTCTGTAGGGTACCAGATTCGCTGAGCTTCCGCCTCACTGGTCTGTCAACCTTACCCATGCTAACAGACTCTATAATCTTATCAACCTCTTGGATAAACTTTGGGGAGACTTGTGTTTGTGGTAAGTCAGCTGATATTGGATCAACAGCAGGCGAACCATGCATATCTCTACTCACCTTGGTGTTCACATTAGGGGTATCATCAACAATGTTTCCCACAGCTGTTTCAGTGTCACAGGTACTTCCACGATATCCACACCCCTGCACAAGAACATTTGAAACTCTCTCTTGAATTTGAAAGAGCTCATTGTCATTGGGGAACAGCTTTCTCATTGTCTCACACTCAGCATCATATCTATCTTTTACAGATTCCAACTCTGCAGCTCTCCGTTGCACCCTCTTAATACAATCCTGCAGTTTGAATATCACAGACATTGGTAACCATAAATTATTAACATGGCGAGAGACAAGATTCGATAGATTGAGATTACATGAAATGTATTTGAATCGAGATTCAAATGACTGAATCCAGAGTCGACTAGAGTAAATCTAATTTCACTTTAGTGAATCGAGATTCAGTAGTAGTGAATCCAGATTGACTTCAGTAAATTGATATTGCGTATCATTGAATCCAGATTCACTTAAGTCAATCGGAATTCAGTTTTAACTTAATCGATAACCACTAATCTGAAATGAGATTCAGTATTAGTAAAACGATTCATTGAACTGAATCGACATTCAGTTTAAGTGAATCTTAGTAAAACGATTCATTGAACTGAATCGACATTCAGTTTAAGTGAATCTCGATTCACTCCTACTGAATCGAGATTAAATTGATTCAGTTTAAGTGAATCTCGATTCACTCCTACTGAATCGAGATTAAATTGAATAAACAAAGTCTTGCAACCTAATATGCTAACCTTTCGAATTGTCTCAACACTTTTAGGCGAGTTTCCAGTACCACTCTGCATTCGAGATAAAGGTGCAAGTTCAACCCTCTCTGTAAATGCACCTTTGCCAAATGAATTTGTAGTTATTTCTTCTGACTGTCTTTCCTTCAAGACCAAGTCAGTCCAGCCTAAAAATGTAGGGGTTGTTCTCTCAACCAACCTCCTCCCTTTGAAAAGAACCCGATCGGCATAGAACAGCTAGAAAGACAGAGATAAGAAATAAAGCATACCAATTAGTAATCATCATGTAAAACTACTTTAACTACAGTAATGTAAAAATAAATCAATATTATACAAGTGACTTACAATAAAAAATGCAAGAGGACCCGTGTAGAATTGTTTTGTCGGGTCTACCTTCCACTTGTGTTGGCTTTCTATCATTGAGTCAAGCAAGAAAGAACACCAATTGTATTCAGAGCACTGATCAACATTATCACCAAGAACTAGAATCCGTTGGTTGATATAAGGATTGCTAAGCGACTGGATCATGCTGTTATGAAAGAGAACCAAGAAATTTAGTTTAAAAAGCAGGTTAACATCAGAACTCTGCTTCAGTTTCTCAGACACATCCCCTGGAGTAATTTTCCAACCAACACTGTCTGTGAATTGAGCCCTCCATTCATCCACCAATGCTGACTTCCGATCACTGGAGGCTGGTATACGCTTCCTGCCCAGAGGTAATCCCATCACTTGATGTGCATCTTCCTCTGTGATACTAATTGATCCTATGGGAAGATTAAGCGCAATGGATTCACTGTCAAACGACTGCAGAATCAAGTACCCCAACATATGTGGTAGTTCCTTTAATCCAAATTGTAAAAGACCTCCAAGTCCAGCTAGTCTCACCCATTCTTTTTGGGAGTCAGTGAGTGATAAAACCATATCAGAGAA